CTTATATGGAACAAGTCGACTTCATGCAAATCAACGCATAGAGGCGTGGTGGTCAACCTTAAGAAAACATCATTCGCAATTTTGGTTGAATGTATTTCATACTTTAAAGGATGAGGGCTCATTCTCAGGAGGCCTAATGGATAAATCACTTATACAATTTTGCTTCTTAGATATTATAAAAGTAAGTCGGTCTTTGATAAAAAATAATTATTCAATAAGTACTGTTAACAGTGATAACATAATAGGTTCTGTCGAGGGTTCTGTAACAGAACTTCTGTTTAATCCGATCTGAGATACAATGTTTGCTACTATTGAAAAGGATATATGTCACCATTAGAGTACTTACAATTTGACCCTGGTATAATAATGATGTTTCTGAAATATTTTACACATAGAATAAAAATACATTTTACATAATAATTCATTATTACAGTTGTTACTCTTAGACAAAAATACTCAACCGGGCTTTAAATAAGTTATTTATAGTAGGGTTTTAATCATTTTTTTTAATTTATTTCAGAGGCGTGCCCAAAATTAGCGTGACATAATTTAAATGTAAAAAAAATATTTTATAAAAAAATAGTTTTTAAAATAACGCTTTTGCTGATTTTGTCAAAACTTAAGTAAACTTAGCTAATTTAATTAGTGCTAATAGCACTTTTTTAGTAATAGAATGATTAAAAATGCGTATTTGGTGTTTTTCTCCTTAACCCTGTATGAAGAAAAATTTATTTAAAATTCCTTTAACCTTAAAATAGATCCAACTTTAAGGCCACACAAGTCGTTCACCAGATGCTTATAATATGAATCACCCTGTGTAATAATATTTGAATGCATGCCAGGTTCAATATTTTTGTCTACGAGTTAAAACTAAAACGACGAATTATGTAAAATGTTTCAGAGAACTCATTTTTCAAGAATGCGCGTTTGATATTTTTTACTCATTTTTCGACTACACTCGATAGGCGTAGATCTTTTGCGCTGTGATAACAAGTCATTTTTTGATATCAGTAATGCTAATCAGCAGATCAAATCAAGTAAACCATAAAGCGAACCAACTACACCCCAATAATTAGCATTAAACTTAAACCTTTTTTGTCTAGGAGGAACTTGATACGGTTATCCTGGAATGGAATACGCATAGAATAGCGCGTTCTAGAAATAGCATTGCACCTTATGGACGACCATTCATGATGTATAACAGACCTCAAGATTTCATGTCCACCGACTACTTACATCCTGTAAGCATTGAGATGACAGAACTTTGGTTGGAAACAATACCCAAGCCAAGACTCACTTCAGATTATGACGTGTACCAGTTGGCTGCAATAATTATGGAGGAAGAGGGATGGGTCAAGACCAAACACGTAGAAGCAGCAATAGAATTATACAAGAATTTGAGACAGAAGTTTTTAAATATTCTTCCAATTCTATAAAATGATACCTATTATAGGTAACCTATATAAGCGTGGTTGTATTTTTTAACATTAAATATCTAAATAAAAGTTATGAATATATGTAATAATACAAAAACGTTATAAAAATCTTTTATTATCCTAAGAATATTTTTTTCCAGTTGCCCTTCATTAAAATTAGAGTTGCCGCGAATAGTTTCTGTACCCTATGGCGAATAGTCGTTGGTAATCAAGAAATATAGATAATTGTAAGATTTCCGTAGCTTTAAGACAACTGTATACATGTTATTGTTATTTATTATCAATTGTGGTATCGGTTTTTATGTCGAATTATTTGCCATTATTCGTCATTAATATTCGACATAAAAACGATACCATAATTACACATAAATAACAATCAGGTATACGGAAATCTAACGATTACCTATATTTCTTAATTACAAAAAAAAATAACCCGATTTTTTCCCTCATATATGTCTAATAATTCCACTATTCCACTATTCGCCATACTCAGACCGCAAACTCCACAAATTCTTCCATGCCGAGAAACATACACAATACAATACTGTCGTCTGCAATTGAACTGGCCTAGAACGGAGTTCGGCCGTAACTACTCGTAGGATAACGAACCAGTGTTGCCACAAAGGCAGAAATTGACAGAGTGTACATTTACAGAAAAAGTGTAAATTTACAGAAAAAGTGTAAATTTACAGAAAAAGTGTAAATTTTTCTAAATATATTTTTTAATATTGACATGGCAGCTCTACGCTTTCGTAGGTTCGCCAGTAGGAGTCATCAAAGTTCAATTTTTTGAATGAACATTTTTTTTTTATTTTTTTTTTAACAATTCGCAAAAAATAGTGAAAAAAAAGAGCTGAATAGTAAAAAATAGTCTTTTAACAAATATTTGATGAATTTACGGCCATTTTTATATCTTAAAACGTAAGTAATTGATAAATATTAACCAATTATGCTATTTAAATTAAACTTTCTTATTTACTATCGATATAATTCTCTACAACAATAACTTTTTCAGAGTTATTATGATTTCTGACTTAAAATAAATATAAACATAACACATCAATTCATAAAAAAACAACAAAACTTTAATCAAAACAAATCATTAGATAATATATTGCAAATTTAATAAAAATCTCAATAGTCATAAATAAACAAGTTGATAAATATTAAATTATTTCGACTTTTATACAAAGCAAATTAAGATTTTATTTTATGACGTAACTAACGTGCCCTTAACATGTATACAGGTACAATTTATTATTATATTATTGTTGTGCCGCCAATTTTAAATTAAGCGGCACGGCAGTGATGACGTTTTTTATCTATTACGTCACTAGCGTGCCCGTAAAAAATAAATTGCAGGCACTCTAACGTGCACCTAGTCACTTCGTACTTTGTTCTCGGACTAATCACTAAATACAACAAACAATACATTTTGGTATAACATAAAGCATCAAACCCGTTTACAAAGACAATAGAGTCGCTAACGTCATACTAATTAACTAGAGCAATCATAAAATTTCAACAGGTGCTTTCCTAATCAAATAATTATAAATAATTATCATTATTTTTTATTATTATTTAAGTAGTGCAATTATTTAAATAGCAATTTCTACTTATATAATATTGAAGCAAATGAAGTTGACAATAAAAACAATTTACTTTTTCGTTAATTTCATAATTTTGTTAAAAAAATTGAATAACCTTCATTTATATTTATTGCTATATTACGAAAATGTTGAAAAATTGCAGAATCTAAGTTGCAATTGTATATTTGTTGTTTTTTTTATAAATTAATGTTTTTTTATATTTATTATAAGTCAAAAATCATAATAAATCTGGAAAAGTTATTGTTGTAGGGAATCAATATAATAGTAAATAAGAAAGTTTAATTTAAATAGCATAATTGGTTAATATTTATCAATTACTTACGTTTTAAGATTTAAAAATGGCCGTAAATTCATCAAATATTTGTTAAAAGACTATTTTTTACGATTCAGCTCTTTTTTTTCACTATTTTTTGCGAATTGTTAAAAAAAATTGCAAACAAAAATGTTCATTCAAAAAATTGAACTTTGATTACTCCTACTGGCGAACCACTACGAGTTACACAAAAAAACACAAAGACAATAATTATTTTGAAGAGCGTGAAATTTCCTATAAGGTCCATAAAACCGATTCACAATATTGTATATTGTATAAGAGCGGGCGAGCATTAGAAATTTGAAAAAAAACATCTTTTTTACATGCATTTTAAATGGGAAAACTTTAAATTTAAACTGCAAGTACTTAAAATTGATATTAAGAGCTCTACCTTGGTGAACATTTTTTTTCTATAGGTAGATTAATATTTTGCTTGAGCGCCGAGAAAAAAAAAGTTTTTTGCGGAAATGAATCACCCTAGTATATACATAAAAAAATTATTTAGGATTAACAAAATTCTGCCCAAATAAATTATACTTAAGAATTTATTTTTATTAAAAAATGATAGAAATGTTTGCAAAAATTGATTGGAAATAATATTTTTTAATGCAGTGCAAGTGAACCTTTAGTAAATTTTGTCTTTCAATTCATGATAGTTGAAACTATTTTAAATTTATAAAATTAGTTGGGAAAATTTTAAACCAATAAAATTTTAAATTAAAAAATTGTTTAATAAATGTTAAAATAGCGTTCCATAGAAATCGGATAAAAATTGTTCGTGCAACTTTACTTTTGGTAGGTATAGACAGGGCCGGCCCTAAGGGGGGTGTAGGGGGGGAGTCACCCCCCCCAAAGTCTTGGCAGTTGGTTCCAAATCCAAACACGGTTGGCAAAATCTATATATAGATACTATACAAATACTATAGTATTTGGGTCGGTTGGTTGGGTATACCTACCCTACCAACCAACCCATCACAATAAATAAAATGAAATATAATTTTTAAACTTTACCTACATATTACAAAATTATAATTTTTAATCTATTGTAACCTCCTATAATCGTTACCGTCAACCTTATTTTTATTAAAGGACATTATATTTCACACAAGCGGCATGTACAAAGTCGGCACCGCCTCGCGGCTTTGTCTTTCTAAATTATTAATTAGTTGAAGCTTATCTAAGCTAAGTAAAACTAGTGTAAATAAATAGGAATTAATTTTTTTTTAATATGGAAAAGAAAGCTAGACCGGGCAGAGTTCTAGTAAAATGCTCATTATGTGGATCTGTGTTTAACAAGGACTAGAAAAAAATGCACGAGGAAAATATTCACGGTGGAAATTTGGTTAAAATTAAAATTGTTACTGTACCGGATAATCCACTTACATTGGTAGCAAATAAAAGAAATAGAGACTTCAAAAGAGCATGCTAATGCTAACATTCTTTATCTACACTTTACAACACTTTACATTCATGATAAAACTACTGAAAATTTTTACTATTACTACTAAAGTATCGATAAAAAAATAAGTTGGTTTTTTTTATCGTCTCCACCCCCCCCAAAAAAGTGTGCCTCGGTACGCCCCTGGGTATATAAAAACTATTTTTGATTTTTTTATAATATTAATTATATTTTATACTTACACACAATTTATCTTCAAATTCCAAAGCAGGATGCAACAGAGGCAATTTGGTATTCAACCCCTTAGGTTTAATATTCTTAACATTATTATTATTAATGCCAAGTGGTTTTAAGGGAGGACAGGGAACACTATTTTTCCCCGCCGAACCATAAACAACGGGTTTATTGATAACATCTTTTAACACATTTGTATTAAAATTAACTTTATTTGGTGCTGTTTTAGCTTCAGCTCTTTCAAAAACTTCAATTGGGATATCGAATTCTTGCTTCAAAAAGTTTTCTAAATCTACATCTTTTTCTCCTAAATTTAAATCCTGTAATGGGAGATTGTACAAAATGTACAAAGACTGCATTTATAAATACCTGGTATTTATCCTGACTGGTGCTGGATATTTTTGCCTCGTCATCTTTATATTTTTCGTCCTGCCGAGCAGAATTAATAATACCGTCCAACATATCTTTGTTTAGTTCCAACATATCATCCAAATTTTCTTTTTTCTGCTCCTGATCCTCAGGAAAATCATCATCGAACAATTCACTTTCAAAGAATATATCGGCGGATTCAAACAGTTTAATTTTTTTCTTTGGTTGTGATGGTTGTTTCAAAAGCACATTTTGGTATATTTTTATTTTGTTTTCCACGTCCTTTACGCTTTCTGTTTTGGATTTTGTTAGTTCCAGTAAATGGTCTTCTTCTTTTTCATAAACCGTTGGTACTTCAGGCTTCTTGGGTTGTGAAGGCATAAAGGAAGATATCGTTCTTTGGATTGCGTTTTTCTTGATTGGTGGTTTTGCTTTTTTATCATTTTCTTCTATAATCGCATCACATAACTCATTTATCATTTTATCCATGCTTTCGCTATCTTCAATTATTGTGTCTTCAGTTGACACCTGTTTGGTACTTTTTGCTCTTGGTGGCAAAAATTGCGACACTGTCCTCTGCAATATTTTAGCCTTTTCGCTTTTACGAGTTTTGGTACTTTTTGGCTGCTGGTTTTGCTCTTTTTTCGCCGGTATATTCTTCTTCACCTTCATGTACAAATCCATGTACATTTGCTGACTTACACCTTTACTTTTCTCATTTTCTGAAGCCTTTAATTTACCTTTAGTCAAGTCAAGAGTACAGTTACAATCTATCCCAACTAAAAAAATTATAAGTACGTAACGTATAATTTCTTCATGTTAAAACTCACCCCATTGTTCACTTAAAAAATGCGCTGAAACAGTCTCAACGTCCCCATTCTCCAAATGAATTTGTTTGACAACTTTTAAATTGTCCAACATGTAGGAATGTCTGTATTGCTCGTACAAAAGGATTTCGTTGTTGCTGTCGCCCACCAGAAGAGTCATCAACGAAGAATCTTTCCCTGTGACTTGAGTTTGCAAGTCTTGCGGGTTTGTTATTCCAAAGGAAAGGGTAAGGGTTTTGTTATTGTTTCGTTCCAGCGTCATTTCGTATTTTGGAATGTGCTTTATTTCGTCTATGATTTTATTGCCGAATGGGCTTTTCTTCTTTAGAATCTAAGCAACAAAATGTTACAGTCGGATATATAAAGTAGGTATCACTTTCTGGGAAAGCAAAACAATATGGATCCATCTCTAGAGTCATTTTGTATTTTGGATTATGTTATTTCTTGATTATATTACCAAGATAAAGTGGAAGAAGAATATTAACAGTAAGATATTTCCCTTGATGAGAAGATGAAAATTGAAGAACGTTTTTACTATTTATAAAGAAAGATATGGAGGAAAATAAGTATTTATATTATATTTTCTAGTCATTTACAATTATGAAATAGAATCTGTATATATATATATATTAGGGTGTCCCAAAAAAAAGAATATTTTTTTTCTTCTCGTCTCTTGTGAAAATATGTTGGTTTGTCATGTTTTAAGAGCCCTGTCAAAAGATCAGCACCATAAAAAAATTTTTAGGGGTCGCTCAAGATTTTTTAAAATTACCAAAATCGTCAAAAATTGGATTTTTTTTTATTTTAATTTTTTTTCTCGTTCCGATATTATTTTTTAATTTAAAAATAATAATGATTCTGAAAATTTCAAATCGATATTTTAATTTCTAAAGGTCGCTCAAGATTTTTTTAACTTTCAAAGTAGAGTATTTTGAATGTTTTCGAGCGACCTCTGAATATAAATATCAACGAACTTTTAGCGACCTTTAGAAATCAAAATATTGATTTGAAATTTACAGAATTTTTATTATTTTCAACCTAAAAAATAATATCGAGACGAGAAAAAGAATTAAAATAATACAAAAATTCAATTTTTGACGATTTTGAAAATTTTTAAAAATCTTGAGCGACCCCTACAAAATTTTTAATCGAGCTGATATTTTGAAAGGGCTCTTACAGCATGATAAACTAACATATTTTTACAAGAGACAAGAAAAAAAAATATATTCTTTTTTTTTGGGACACCCTAATATATATAAAGTTATATATATATATATATATATATATATATATTAGGGTGCTTCATTTTAGAGCAACATTTTTTTGTTTTAAGTCCCACCTCAAAATCTTGTAGTAGATCCAAAAACAAAAAATTTGAGCATTTTTTGAGCCCTTAATTATAATTTTAAGCCATTGCTCAATAGTGTTGAAGATTTTCCATTCAAATAACATTATAAATCCATTTTTTACCATTTTTATCTTCCGCTCACCACGAAGGAATTTTATTTACAAATTTTGGCTCAGGGAATCTTATGAAGGACTAAATCGTCTACGAAAAAGCCCATTGAGCCGAGTCTGTAAGTCGAATATCTTCTTTACAAATCGCTCTTTAAATTGAAAATGTTATAAAAATAACAGTAAATCGTAATTATTTGCTAAACTATTGATGATAGAAAAAAAACGTTAATGGCAATTTTGTAGGGAATTTTTTGTCCTCTAACTTTGTTTAAAAAAATTTTTCATATCACAAATAGTTAAACGACTGCAGCCTCTTAAAATGTAAAATGTCTTAAAATTTCTATTCTAACCTATGTATATTAGGGTGCTTTATTTTAGAGCGACACTTTTTTTCAAGGTCCCACCTAAAAATCTTGTAACCGGTTAGAAAACAAAATTTTTTAGCTATTACAAAGCTCTTAATCTTTATTTTAAGCCGTTGCTATTCCATTTTTAAATATTTCCCTTTAAAAACCATTAAAAAACAATGTTTTATTCTTTTTTCCTTCTGCTCGTACAATAAGAATATTTTTTTCGAATTTCGGTTCTAAAATCTTTATACAGGATAAAATTATCTTCAAAAATGTCCATTTAAGCAAGTCTGTAAGTTCTTCACAAATTGCCGTTCTACTCGAAAACCTTAAAACGTAAATGACAATTTTGTAGGGAATTTTGTTCCCTACAAGTTTGTTAAAAAATATTTTTTTGTATTACTTATAGTTTAGATTGTACAGCCACTCAAATGGTCAAATTCTTAAAAATTCAGTTTTCTGACGACTGTAATATATTATACTATTTATATATTATAGTATTTATACTATTAGAGTTACGTAATAGAATTAATGATTTAGATATTCTAACTGTAAAAATATTTCAGAACATCTAATAAAAAATAAATTTTCTATTTAATTCTTTCACGCAACTCTAATAGTTTAGTTATTACAGTCGTCAGAAAATGAATTTTTAAGAATTTGACACTTTGAATTGCCGTACAAGCTAAACTATAAGTGATACAGAAAAATATTTTTGGACAAATTTGTAGGGCAAAAAATTCCCTACAAAATTGTCATTTACGTTTTTTATCTACAATCAATAGTTTAGTCTTCAAATACGATTTACTGCTATTTTAGAAGATTTTCGAGTAGAACGGCAATTTGTGAAGAACATATTCAACTTACAGACTTGCTTAAATGGACATTTTTGAAGATAATTTCATCCTGTATAAAGATTTTAGAACAGAAATTCGAATAAAATATTCTTACTGTACGAGCAGAAGAAAATAGAATAAAACATTGTTTTTTAATGGTTTTTAAAGGGAAATATTTAAAAATGGAATAGCAACGGCTTAAAATAAAGATTAAGAGCTTTGTAATAGCTAAAAATTTTTGTTATCTAACCGGTTACAAGATTTTTAGGTGGGACTTTGAAAAAAATGTCGCTCTAAAATGAAGCACCCTAATATACATAGGTTAGAATAGAAATTTTAAGACATTTTACATTTTCAGAGGCTGCAGTCGTTTAACTATTTGTGATACGAAAAAATTTTCAAAACAAAGTTGACATAAAATTCCCTACAAAATTGCCATTAACGTTTTTTTTTCTATCATCAATAGTTTAGCAAATAATTACGATTTACTGTTATTTTTATAACATTTTCAATTTAAAGAGCGATTTGTAAAGAAGATATTCGACTTACAGACTCGGCTCAATGGGCTTTTACGTAGACGATTTAGTCCTTCATAAGATTCCTTGAGCCAAAATTCGTAAATAAAATTCCTTCGTGGTGAGCGGAAGATAAAAATGGTAAAAAATGGATTTATAATGTTATTTGAATGGAAAATCTTCAACACTGTTGAGCAATGGCTTAAAATTATAATTAAGAGCTCAAAAAATGCTCAAATTTTTTGTTTTTGGATCTACTACAAGATTTTTAGGTGGGACTTGAAACAAAAAAATGTTGCTCTAAAATGAAGCACCCTAATATATATATATATATATATCAATATATATTTATATATATATATATACAGGGTGTTATGTAATTAATGTTATATATTAAAATGGGTAGTTCCTTAGGGTCCATAAAGAAGTACCTGAAACGTTTTTTTTCCAAATTCCAAAGACTAAAAATAATTTATAATCCCCTTTATCCTACCAAAAAATACGCCACTGATCGACTAGGAACCGCGGATTAACCTTACCTATTACTTTTTAATGCAGTGTTGCCAAATGTAAAATTAAAAATGTATTACCTTATATGAGATGCTCAAAATGATTTCATTATTTAGAATGCAAGCTTAAACTCTGCGAAGCATGCTTTCGCGCACCCGCGTAAAAATGTCTGGACTATTTACAATTAAGTTCCTGAGTTGCTGCCCAAATCCCGTGTCTTAAATGTGGCCTCATCGGTATACAAAACACTACGGCTCCAATCAGCATCTTCTTGATTTTTCTGTATATACCAATGGGAAAATTCCAACCGCAGTGCATAATCTCCATCCTGAAGAGCTTGAACTTTTTGTAGGTGATAGGGGTACAAACACAGACCTACAAACTATTTTCGTGAATCGTGCGCCACGTAACAAAGTTGGACATTTGTCCAAGTTGGGGAGTTAATCGTCTTGTACTAATTCTCGGATTTGCTTCCACTTCGTCCAAAATTTGCTCTTCAAGGGCCACAAATTCACGTACCTGAGCCCGACCCCTATCACCAACACTAAATCTTCCGCGGTCCCTTAAATTTTGCACAGCACTTACAAAACTTTGCTCCGAGGGCGGTGGATGTCCGTCATTGGCGTTGTAATGATTTTGAATATACAAAATTCTTGCTTGACGAGCATTTTGCATTGCTTCCCCGTAACACAAAACTAATGATTTTTTAAAAATCGTTTTAACATTGTGATTTAAAAACATACTTATAAAAAATATATTTAAATTTAGACACACCAGATTTAAACTTTAATCATAATTCGTAATGGGTTACTTTGTCCAATTTAATTTATTATGTTATGGTTGGTAACACTGTCAAAAAATTGTAGGTTATGTGCTCAAATATCTTAACTAAGGGAAGTGATTTCGGGAGTTTGGATTTATTTACACAAATTGAATGTTTAACGATTAACCTTTGAACTTGTCCTAATTTCATCTGAGTAAACAAAAAGAAAAAAACCGATGAAAAAATTAATTTTATGGAGTTTTTAAATAGGTAGGTACTAATTTTTCTTATCATTGTCTAAGTTAATAGCTGGATGAGTAAATAAATACAGAATGGTATTAGAGCTTTAAGGGCATAAAACTTTTGTATTTATTGAGTTTTAATTTATTTTTTGCAAGAAAATTTTTTAGTAACAATTTTTTTACAACTGGCAACGCGCAGCTACTTTTTGGTTTGTATCTATGTACTGACAGAACACAAGTGTGTAACCAGTGGCGTATCACAAAAAATATAAAAAACTTCTAATGCATATATTTTCTTTGTCTTTGGGAAAATATCTTTTAAAATATTTTTCCATTACACCTTATGCCAAAAGGTATTCAGTATTTTAATATATAATATTATACATAACACCCTGTATATATCTGATATAGGTATGATATTTGGTAATTTTATAACTAAATAAAAGAGGAAGTGAAATAAGAATACAAAGGAAGAGGAAAAGGAACAAGAAGAGAAGAATAAACAGTAAAAGAAGATGCAGATAAAGCAAAACTAAAGGAAGAAGATTAATAGGAAGAGAAGGATAAAAATATTAAGATTTTTTTTTCTTTCCAGAGGAAGATGAAGAGGAACAGGTTGATGAAGAGGAAGCTAAAGAGGAACAGGAAAATAATGAAGATGAAGAGAAAGGGCAATTATTAGAGAAAGCCGAAAATTAAGAGAATGATAAAGAAAATAAAAATCGATGGGTATGTTTCTTTTCCTTTCTAGAAGATGAAGATGAACAGGAAGAGAACAATAAAAATAAAGTGATGTTATTATTGTTTTTACACTTATTTCGCATTTTGGAATTTGTTATTTTGTGAATATATTACCAAATAAAAGGGCAAGTGAAAAAATAATATGAAGAGATAAGGGAAATGGTACTAGAGGAGGAACAGGAATGGGAATGGTACATGAAGGGGGAAGCTAAAGAGCAACAGAAACAGCCGATTTATTTATGAGCCGCTTTGAGAAGGAACTTAGTAGCTCGGGGTATTTTCTGAGGATTTGGTTAAGATACGTGGACGATATATTTGCTATTTTTGATCAAAACGCTTGCAGCTTAGATAATTTTGTTTAAAAATTGAATAATCGTTTTCCCTCTATTAAATACACCTTTGAATTGGAAAAAGATGGGCAGCTACCATTTTTAGATACCCTAGTGATTAGATCTAACAATACTCTAGAGTTTGATATCTACATTACTTCAGACTCGAACCATTGCACACAACATAAGCAGGCTAGTTTTAACTTTCTTGATCGTAGGTTAGTAAACTTTCCACTTAGTAACAGTAGATACAAGAAACAGCTCAGTTTTATAAAAGACATTGCTAGAGACAATGGTTTTGAACCCACTCTAGTAGATAAGTCAGTGGCGGCTGGTGGATTTTGGGTATACCAATATTTCAGTTATTTAACATGGGTCCCACACCAAATTTATAATAGTTTATAATGCCATTAAATGGACAAGTTCGGCGCAAACAGAATTTAAATTGAAGTTTGCGAAAAAAAGTTAGTTTTTCCTGTCGCCTCACCCGCCTCCATGCCTCCCTATTTAAGATTAAAATTTTATTTAAAAAATCCAAATATTACAGTTTTTATTCGATTTTAAATTTTTATTATTTATTTTATGGTAAACGACTTTTCAAACAGCCTACAAAAGTCAAGTTTATGACTATTCCTTTCGAACCCCAGTACACCCGAGGTCTGGAAGGGATTTTTCGAAAACTGGACTTCAAAATTGCTTTGAAAACCTTAAACTTATTAAGGAAGTTAGGGAACGAAGTCTGCTAGATAGCTACGAAAGTTTATACTGTATAAATTATACGTCTATACGAATAGAAATAAATCTTTAAATAGCGATAACGGACCAGTACCTACCCAACTCTAGTTTGTATAGGTTGTTAGTTCTCTTTACGTGTTCACTGAAGCGGTTCTGGTCCACGGTTAAGTAAACTGTCCGTTTACTGTTCAGTCAACCTTAGCCTATAATTATTATAAATATGGTAGATTTAGCAGTTAGATTTAGTTTCACTTCGCTTCTGAAGATGCCAACGTCGTTGGCGAAAAGTACTTTAAGCACTTTGTGTTTTGTTTTAGTGTTGGGGAATATTTCTAGAGGAAGATAATGATAAGGAGGAAAATGAAGATAAAGACTAATTTCATTGTCAAATAAAACAGAAAGTAGAAGAAGAATATCAAGAAGAAGAGGATCAGGAACAGGAAGAAAAAAAAGGAACAGAAAGCTACAGAGAAAGACAAAGATGAAGATTAAGAACATTTCAACTTAATGAATAGAAAGAGGAAGCTGAAGATCAAATAGAAACATGACTTACCATTTCCAGTTCCCTAGGATTTGTGCTGGATATTTTTTCAAATGTCGTTTTTCCAGCGTTGGCCAGTTGTCTGGATAACACAGCACCGATTCCAGTCAGTTGTTTGCCGACATAAGGAGAGTTTTCCCAAATTCCAGCCCGGAAACATTTCGACAAAATTAGGCTGCTCAAAAGGGCCGAGTAGCATTTGGGTTTTATGTTTAGATACTCAATTAAGCAGTTTACTATTCGTCCACCATTTCTCATGATTTTTTGGGAATCAGCCAAAACTGAGTGATCCCATATATCCAAGCAACCAAAACATGCTTGAATAATGCTACGAAATATTTTTTTATTTACTAACAAAACCCTGTACTTTGATTAATAAATAAAAATAAATAAATTTCACATACCAATTGATTTTCATATCAAGTGTTTTAATTTTCCCGTTCAAAGGAAACCTTATGGTTTTGTTATTCTTATTTTTGTTCAGCAAATTCAAACACTTTTTGTCGTCCGTTCGAAGATACATTTCGGAGAACTCATGGCACTTAGAAATAAGCGCCAATATTTGTTGAAGAACTTCACATCCACTTATCTTTAAAATATCAAGCATAGCATACACTTTTTTGTTGTAGTATACCTACTCACCTTAGTAAATAGTTTCATTGTTTCAAAGGCGATGTAATATTTAGCCATAACTATACCGCTATTGGTTGGTGTTATGGTGATGTTTTGATCGATTGTCAACATACCAGCGTTCACCAATTTATTCAATTGAATTTGGCAGAGTTCTAGAATGATGAAATAAAATAAATAAGCAGTTAAAAATATTAAAAATGTATTTACCCAGAAGCTTTTTATCAATTTGTTCGGCAGTATAAGCGGTCGAAAACCCGTAATGTTTGGGATTTTTTCTTGCTCTTATGTACAAAAAAGTCGAAGAAAGCCACCTCATGGCCACTTCCAAATCAGTGATGGTTCCCAAAACAACTTCGGCATTCAGATGCTCCTTCAAATGTTTATGTAGGTTGGACTCTATTGGCAGACTCCCCCCGATCATTTTCTCGAATTTAGCCTATGCAGAATTGGAAAAATATCAACCGGTTTTAAAAGAGTTTTAACGATGTAAGTTTGATACCTCAACGTCATCGCATGTGCATGGCTGATGACGTTGCGGTATTAAACTTAAAGCGTTCGCACTCTAAATAGATTCTTTATTTTCCGCTGTTCTAATACGTTCTACCTCCCTAGCTTTGCGACCATACTCCCCGTAAATAATTATCATTTTGGCATAATAAAAGGAAACATCACAATCCACACAACAAGGTCTGTTCGATCTCGTAGTAAAAATACTAAAAATCACTGCAACACTGCAAATTATTCAATGGCGGCCATTTTTGTTATTTTATAACCCACAAATCAACCTTAAATTGACATTTGACAGCCTTGATAGAATAAGGTTTATTTTTTACAAAAGGAGTAAAATGATCACCTTGTCGTTTGCTGCTAACATGAATTCAACAATATCAGCAGCAAATAAATCCTTAGGTTTTATAATTAGAAACACTAAGGATTTTAAAAATATAGATTTATTAAAATCACTAAATATTGATGGTTACAAGTTAGAACAATGTACTAGTAACAACAATAGAACTGGATGAGTTATAGCTTTAATTAGGTGTTATGTTGGATATAAAATTAAAACTGTACAGTGCGTTGATAATTATGTGTGGTTATTGTCTATTGAATTATCTTCGTCTGGTCCAAAGTACTTGTGCTCTGTATTGTACCATCCTCCTCAAAAATACGATGCCAAATTTATAGATTTAATAATAATAATATCTTTATTTAGCTAGTTTGCTATATACAAGAACAAAAATATAACAATATATATATATATAAGTGTACGAAATTATAATAATTTTTTTTTTATACACATATGCAAACAATCATAAAATATATAAAAGTTAACAATAGAACATAAATACAGCAATGATAAAAAAACAACAGTATTAACAAGAGCTCATATTAAATTTAAAATATAAATTCAAAACACAGCGGATACAAACATAATAGATAAATAATATCCTATGCAGGGCCGTACCGAGGCACACTTTTTTGGGGGGGTGGAGACGATAAAAAAACCAACTTATTTTTTTATTGATACTTTAGTAGTAATAGTAAAAATTTTCAGTAGTTTTATCATGTATGTAAAGTGTTGTAAAGTGTGGATAAAGAATGTCTTTACCTACCATTAGCATGCTCTTTCGAAGTCGATGGGATTGATTCTCGTTCTTTATTTTTTTGATTTGCTGCCAATGTAAGTGGATTATCCGGAACAGCAACATTTTTAATTTTAACCAAATTTTCACCGTGAATATTTTTCTCAGGTATTTTTTTCTAGTCCTTGTTAAACACAGATCCACATAATGAGCATTTTACTAGAACTCGGCCCTGTCTAGCTTTCTTTTCCATATTAAAAAAAAATTAATTCCTATGCGCGAGGCGGTTCCGACTTTGTACATGCCGCTTGTGTGAAATATAATGTCCTTTAATAAAAATAAGGTTGACCAATACAATTTTCTTGACGGTAACGATTACACTATGTAACATGATATTTGTTTATCTGGATTTTATTACAAAAATCGTAGTAGGGTATGCCCCCGATTACGTAAGATACATTTGTTTTTTCAAACTGTCAAATTTTCAACGACAGCCGTCAGATCGTGTTGATGGCTTTGAGTGTCATTAGAGGACATCCATTAATTACGTGAGGCATTTTTCTCTTAATTTAGACCGCTCCCTCCCCCTTGGTGAGATTTGGTGAGTCGTGGTAGACCCCCCCACTATCCCTCACGTAAGATTTTGGCCATTAAACTTTCTTTGCGGACAACATTTAAAAAAATAAATATTTTTTTTTAACAAAAATTGGATTATCATACATATTTTTTAAACTCAAAAGTTAACGTGAGATTTTAAATGAAAGGATTCCTTGGTAACCACAAAAGAGAAAATTATACTGACCTTGTCAAAGTTTTATTAGGAAATTTTAAAGAAATGGGATGCCGCATGTCGTTGAAAGTACCTACACTATTTGCATTCGCATCTTGACTTTTTCCGTGAAAATCTGGGAGATTTCAGCGAAGAACATGAAGAAAGATTCCATCAAGATATTCGGGCAATGGAAAAGTGATAACAAGGAAGGTGGGATTCGACAATGATGGGTGACTATGTTTCCAATGGGAATCTAGTTCGGGAAGAAAATGCATCATATAAAAGAAAAAGTCGTATTAAAATTCATTTTTTTGCCAAGATTTAAAATCTATGTTAAGAAAATATTTTTCTAGACTGTATGTTTTGTTAAAATAATAATTCTGAGTTGAATTTCTTACCATTTCTTGTCAATATTTTTTTTGTTTTTGATAAAACTGGATTTAATTATATTATATAAATACCCCTTAAAAAAATAAAAACTTATCACTACATTTTTTAAATTAAGTTAGGATAGTTTTTTGGCACACAAATATTGATAATTTAACAAAAAAATCCAATAAACTAAACAAAAATCAAATTTTGTTACATAGTGTTATAGGAGGTTACAATAGATTAAAAATAATAATTTTGTAATATGTAGGTAAGATTAAAAATTATATTTCATTTTATTTATTGTGATGGGTTGGTTGGTAGGGTAGGTATACCCAACCAACTGACCCAAATACTATAGATTTTGCCAACCGTGTTTGGATTTGGAACCAACTGCCAAGACTTTGGGGGGGGGGTGACTCCCCCCCCTACACCCCCCTTAGGCCCGGCCTGATCCTATGATTCAAAGACATGTTTTTTTAAAAGATTTTGAAATGACTTTAAATTATCACATTGAATACGGTTATGAGGCGCCGTTTGTGCCATAATTATGTTGCTAATATATATTTATTTTTGTTTGAATATATATATTTTTTTAATATATTTTTAAATTTACTTAATATATTTATTTTTTTACCTAAAATATATTTATTTTTTAAGAACAATATATTTATTTTTTGTGTTAATATTAATAATATTATAATAATATTATGTTTTTTTGACATCTGCTAATATATATTTGTTTTTTTGACAGACAATTCAATGTGGCAACGTTGCATTGTCATTTAACCCGTTGTTCATTGATGTCGTTGTTTTAAGTTTACTGATACTTTACCGGCAATATTTTTTGAATGTTTGAGGTGAATTTTCGGTGGCTACTCAAAACAAGTGTGCTACGCAACTCTGGACTACTTCTTTCCATTATTACTAAAATTTCGCTTTTACAAAAAATATTCCAGAAAATTAATAAAAAAAAATTTATTGGGTATTTACCTGTTTTAAATAACCGCAAAAAATTTACCGTCTTCACTATTTCTTTCGTTTATAAATAAAAACAAAGTCGTTAATGGAATCTAACCTCAAAAATTCAAAAAATATTGCCGGTAAAGTATCAATAAACTTAATACAACAACGACACCTATGAACAACGGGTTAAATGACAATGCAACGTTGCCACATTGAATTGTCTGTCAAAAAAACAAATATATATTAGCAGATGTCAAAAAAACATAATATTAATAATAATATTATTATAATATTATTAATATTAACACACAAAAATAAATATATTGTTCTTAAAAAATAAATATATTTTAAGTAAAATAATAAATATATTTATTAAGTAAATTTAAAATTAAATTTAAAAAATATATATAATCAAACAAAAATAAATATATATTAGCAACATAATTATGGCACAAACGGCGCCTCATATACGGTAGTCTATTAAAATTTATTAAACCAATTGAAAATATAGATTGACTCATTTGCGTTGTTCGATATAGTTTCACATTAAAATTTTCACAGTTTCTGGTATTATATGGGTTTGACACAAATTCTAGTTTATTGTATAAATAATTAGGTAACAATTTGTTCTTAACTTTAAATATAAATAAATATGTATTGTACATAATTCTTTGTTTTACACTCATTAAATTTAGGACATTCAACATTATTTTTGTAGGGGTATATCTGTTGCATTTCAATATAGTCCTCATACATCTATTTTGTAAACATTGCAATTCTTGTATTCTGTATGCCGGTAATTTAAACAATATTGTTGAGCAAAAGTCAATATATATATATATATATATATATATATATATATATGGGGTGCTATAATTGATTTGTACAGTTGAAGTTTTGTAAATGTGCTCAGATTTTTAGCAATTTTAGTGTGGCTTTTAAAATTTAAGTTTTCGTCCAACAAAACACCTAGGTACTTTATTTCCCTTGCAAAGGCAATTGTAGTATTATTTATTTCAACTTTCAATTCGTTTCTGTTAATTTTTGAAATTTTGTTACTGTTCCCAAATAAAATACCTTTAGTTTTGTTAACATTTAAGCATAGTTTATTTTCACAAAGCCATGAATACATTTTCTTTAAATCTAAGTTCATTTTTTTTACCATGTCCTCAATATCATTTCCTAATATGTACAACATGGTATCATCAGCGAATAGACTCATTTCAACATAGCTCACACTTTTTACAATATCATTTATAAATAAAGTAAATAATATTGGTCCAAGGACAGTTCCCTGGGGAACTCCATGTTCGGTTTTAGTTTTACTAGATAGCATTCCATTATATTTAGTTATCTGGTACCTATCACTTAAATAATTCTTAAACCAATTTATCACAGATCCATTCATTCCGATTTTTTTTCAATTTTTTTACTAACAACTGTCTGTCAATTGTCTCGAAAGCTCTTTTAAAGTCTAGGAACACTGCCAGTATAACTAAATTTTTGTCTATACTCTTGATCCAAGTATCACAGATCTGCATTAATACTGATTCACATGAATGACCGACACGAAAACCTGATTGATTTTATACTAACACATTGTTTTTATCACAGAAGCTGACTAGTTGGTCTTTTACAACACTTTCTAAAATTTTTTCATAAACCGGCACTATATTAATTGGTCTAAAATCTATACATTCACTTGCTTTCGCAACTTTTGGCACAGGTACTATCACAGATGTTTTC